CGTCTGTGCACACGATAACTCGAGTAAAAATTGAGATATCTTAACGAAACTTGGTACTGCACTTCTTTTGGGCGTAGGACGGACGGTATTGAAAATGGGCGAAATCGGACAATAACCACGCCTACCGTTATAATACCCTTGTGCACAAGTGCGCTCGGGTATAAAAAATATAGAAGTTATTATTGAATAAATAAATAAAAAATTAAATGATTATTCCACTGGCCGTGGGATTCGAACCTATGAGCTCGCGGCTCGTAAATCTGCATTACTGCCGTCTGTCAAGGTACAATTTTGATCCGATCAATCGCGGCGTTAATCCGAATCAAAGTTGCCGCCTGTCTATGCTTTTATATAACAAAAACTCGTATCTGAACAATCTAAATGATTTTCACAGCATGGTCGATAAGTAAACAGGTCCTAATTTCCTCTTTAAACTTTCGTATTAACGCTGCGGGTGTAGATGTTACACTGACAAACAAAGGAAAACAGAAAACTTTTAGCTCACTTCCTTTGAACAGAAAAGTTGTAATAACCACTTACCCGCATTTGAATGACTCTTCTGCAACACAAACACTCTATTTGACCACTAAACTATTACTAAACTTATTTGTACATATTGTATTGTATTAATGTATGCAGAGAAGAGCATTTAAAAATTTTATTACACATTAAAAGCTTAGTGTGTTGAACGATAAAGATAAACTGTTTATTTAGCTTATCATTATGACACGCAACCATAATTACTTGCAATAAAAATTTGAGTTGCAGTAGTTCGATTCTTCTCTATTGCCTCTCTAATATGTACATACATATAAATTATTGTTGGAAGTCGATATGAAGCAATAAACATAGATACTATGTACATAAATATGTAGTACGTATGGATCAAGGCACATTAAACAGGTAGTATCAGTAGAGCAAAAACAACATTTGCGTGTATTTTGTTGTTGCTTCTGGTATCGAAAGTGTCAAAAACTGTTCTGAATTTTTTCTTCTAAATCAAAGCGTGCCATGTGAAATACAAAAAATTATAAAAAATAAAAAATTGAAATTGGAAAAAATAAAAATTGATGCAACTTTCTTTCCTAGTAAATTTGTTTGCTTCTCAATTGCGTTAATCAATTAATTTTTTAATCATCTTATTAATTGATTAAAAAAGTAATTGCAATTAAATTAAGTGCAATTAAACTTTTAATTGAACACGCCAATTAATTTAATTGCAAGTATTTTTTTGATAACAATTAACCTACTTATAAATAAAATAAATAATACGGCACAGGGCTTTTTTTGTATGCTAAAAAACCCGTTATTTAACTGACATTTGCTGCCAAAAATTGGATTTGCTCACACAAGCTCTTGGCTTAATCCTTTAAATCCATAAACTTTCGTAAAAATTTGGAACTTTTAAATTCTATACATATATTTTTTTTTTAATATTTTGAGTATGCAGTTTTTTAGTCCATTCAATTTTAGTAGAATAAAGTGCCATTTTTGGCATTTTTTTCGTTGACGATGTAAGTAATTTTCTTCCATACGAAGTAATGCCACCTTTCTACAAAACCATTTGCTGCCGCGTGGTATGATGTCGTGCGTATTCTTTTCCCGCCAACTAAACGCGACAGGGATGTGAAGAGCGCGCTCTCGAATTGAGTGCCCTGGTCGGTCGTAAGAAGCTTACTCCAGAATTGCCTTCTCAGTCCACGGTAGCACTTGTTGGCAAGAGTGATTCTGCGTTGAATTTCGATGCTGAGATTATTATCGGTATTAATGCTGGTTTCCAAGTAAACGAAATTCTCCACTTTCTCGAAATTATAACTGTCAACAGCGAGGTAGGAGCCAAGGCGCCAATGTGTTTGTTTAATGACAGGAGATACTTCGTCTTGTCCTCTTTTACCACCAGACCCATTCGCTTTGCTTCCTTATCTAGACTCCGTCATTATCGACGGGGGTCTCGGGATCTTCTTCTCCACAACTTCCCGTGCTGCTACCATTCAATAGGGTGGAAAAGTGTTCCCTCCATAATTTAAGCACGTTATGAACATCGGTAACTAGGTCGCCCTTGTTGTTCTTACAGGAGTACGCCCTGGACTTGAACACTTCCGTAAGTAGCCTAACACTCTGGTAAAATTTTCGGGCATTCTTCCTGTCGGTCAACATTTCAAGCTCTTCGCACTCACGTATTTCGACCAGTCTATTCTTATTGCAGCAAATACGTCTCGTTCCCTCTCATGGCTCGCGTTGCGCCCGATCAAATCGTGGATATGTAGGCGGCGTCTTTTTTCTTGACACTTCTCGTCGTACTACATAGTTGTTATTTCGGGCTGGCTGAAATCCGACTACTTATTCGGCAGGGGTACTTAAGGAACGGGTAATGTGGTTCCACTGCTCGCGTATGTCGGATTATTGAAGAGTTCTCTCAGTGAGCAGGTGTGAGAGTCGAGTGGCGAATAAATTGGCCGTCTGTTGCGATTGCAACTTTTTGACGTTAGGCTTTCCTTGCATATTTGGGCGCACATTTTTTGCTGCACTGAGGCGGGTGCGTATCTTGACTGCAACAAGATAGTGGTCCGATTCGTTGTTTGGGCCTTGGAGTGTACGTACGTCTAAAGCACTTGAGGCGTGCCTTCCGTCTATCACAACATGATCGATTTGGTTTTTCGTTTTTTGATCCGGAGACAGCCACGTATCTTGGTGGATCTTTTGACGCTTAAAGCTAGTACTGCATCCTACCATGTCTCGGGCCCCGGCGAAGTCGATCAGTTTCAGTCCGTTGTCAGACGTTTCGTCGTAGAGGCTGAATTTTCCGACGGTGGTTCCAAAGATCCCTTCCTTGCCCGCCCTGACATTGAAGGCGCTCATACCTGCGCCCCAATCGCTCATAGAAGAGATCCTTGGATGCTTCATCTTTCTCTTCCGTCGGGGCATGGGCGTAGATGAGCGAGATGCGGAAGAATCTCGCCTTGATGCGGATTGTGGCTAGACGCTCGTCCACCGGGGTGAACGAGACAGTACTCGGCGACGGAGTCTCTCTCCAACCACAAATCCAACACCGAATTTGCGCTTATTTACAGGACAGCTGTAGTAAACGTCGCAAGGCCCCAGACATTGCTTGCCCTGCTCCGTCCAACGCATATCTTGGATGGCGGTGATGTCCGCTTTTATCCTTACGAGGACGTCAATCAGCCGGGCAGAAGTACCTTCCCCATTAAGGGTCCGGACATTCCAGGTGCATGCCCTCAAATCGTAGTCATTTAAACGTTCGCCGTGGTCGTAAGGGAGGTCTCATCCGAGGCTTTATCATGCTTATTCACTGGAAGGGGTTTTTACGTGGCGAGTCCCAAACCCAACACACAACCTATTGCTGGGGCGTGTCACCTCTCATACAAACTGAAATTGTCATATCGCTTATCTATGTAACCACTTATGATAAGGAAATCGAATTTGATATGTTCACATAAAATGATTGTTATTTGGCGCAAAGGTTTTTAGAAGGATCAGTATGTTTGTCTTCTGATAGGTGGCGCAGGGATTGAGAACTATACTAAAAAATGCTATTTATGGTCAGACTTGCTTCATCTTTGGAATATGTACATAATTGTAACATAAAATTTAGTGTAACTTGGTAGCTACGCTAAATTTCCATCGCGAAAATTCTCTTAAATGAAAATCTGTGGGTCCTAAAAGTGCGCAACATGTAAAAGTAACAGATGCAATGTGTAATCTGCCCAAGCTGACAGTATGAGGTGCATGTACCTAAATGTAGCATGTTGTTAGGAGCGCCTGCTATTATTTTGGAGATTTTTGGCAATCAAAATTGGCGATAGCGAATGCTGGAATCCGGGCGATGGGTTTGGAATTCAGCCGCGATGCAAATTTCCATCGTTAGATCTAATATTCTCATTTTTTACGAGCTTTGGGAATAGGTTGGAAATGTAGCAGCAGGGGTCCACTGAAACCAGTAAAATTTTGAAATGGGTCCGAGAGCAAAAGTTTGGGAAGCTCTGATATAGATAGAAGATGTGTGGTTCCGATTTTAATCTTTCATTAATATAAAATTATAGTTTAAAAAACTAAAACCTCGTTATTATGATTTCCATTCGTACTGTCATCAGGTATGTAACTTGAGAATAGAAATCGCAGCATCTTTTAGGCGTATCAATATTACATAGTTACCCGAGCTGATAAAGGAGGTAAAAGAATCCGCATTTCACATTTGTGAATGACACGATTTTTGTAGATTTCACGATACTACGATGGATTCTGTGATAGCCCTGTATATCTGGTAAGTTAGTACCCACATCTTGCCGCATACACTCATGCAGTGTTTGGCCGAGCTTATGCTCTAACTTGTAGCGTACGTTTTGATGTTGCGCAAATATACTCTCTATACCCCAGAGATAAATTAGGTAGGCCTTCTTAAGTGAAGCCATTCTAAGAGGCCTACACAAGAAGGGCTGAAAAGTGCTTCTCTGCATACCTTCTAGAAGGGCTTATCTATTTCAATTTACGCGAATGCATAACTTCATATTTTTAGCATTACAAATGAATTTCAATAAATGTTGAAAGTTGAAATAACACATATTTGATATAAATCTTAAGCAAGTACTTCACAGACGTACGATTTTTATAAATTAAAGAAGCAACTTTAAAGAGGACTCTTCCAAAAGGCCTTCCGAAGTACGTCCTATAAGTCTTACTGGAAGGCCTTCTATGGGTACGAAAGCCCCTAAATTTGTGCCACTCCATACAAAAAAGAAAGGAATGTGGAGTGGACGGCCTCTTGACTCTCAGCAAGGCCTTTTTAACTCCTGAAATTATCTACTGGGGTAGTTAACGCCGCCTCCGAACGGCAAATGGGTTAAATGAGAAGCTTTTTCGTGACAGCTCGGGAGGTTTGCCAATGCCTGCTGCTGTTAAGAAAAACTGCAGATGCTTCTATTCAATTTCGGCATATTTGGCACTCATACTTTCCCATTGTAAACCCTAAAAAAATGTTTGGCTAATTAGTACAATATACAAATTTTCATTCACGTTTTGTATACGTAGTATACAAGCTTTCTTTATACTTCGTCAAAAAGACACATCAAAAGTTTTATAAAAACTATAAAACGTTTAGACTTAATCGAAGAGACCGAAGCCCATATCATCGTCAGATTCCTCTGGTTCTTCCTCCTTCTTCTTCTCTTCCTTTTTGGCCTCAGCTGGTGCAGCATCTCCACCAGCAGGGGCTGCACCGCCAGCTGGGGCAGCAGCACCGACACCGGAGCCAATGTTGGTGATCAAGTCCTTAACATTGATACCTTCCAAAGCCTTGGCAAATAGACCGGGCCAGTAGGGTTCAACTTCAACATTGGCGGCCTTCAGGATGGTGGTGATTTTCTCGCCCTGTTAAAGTTCAAAAAATTAGCATAGGTAACAGTTAAATATATCGCCACTAGTGCGGAAACAAGAAATTTTGCTATTTGTTTAAAGATTATGGAAGTATTTTTGGATAAATTCTGTGCACTTGGCAGAACAGAGACAACTTACAGTAACAGCAACATCATCATCAACCAGGATGAGAGCAGCGTAGACGCAAGCAAGTTCAGCTTTTGTAGACATGGTTAAGAAGTATTAAACAATTATTATTGATGCAAGTCGCCAAAAATTAGATATTTATTTAATAATTGGCCTTAGCTCGAAATCGAGAACAAGCACACTTGACAAAATCCAAAACCGGAAAGAAAGCGTAAAAGGTGAAGTTTG